ATGTCTGTAAAAGAGATATTTAAGTCGCGCAAACGGGTTGGAGAAGATTTAAAATTATTATTATTAAAGCATAAATATAAAATATAATTTTTTTATTCTCAGTCCCTAAGTCAAGTGGCCGAAATACGACTCGGTCTGTATACTTCGGTCGGTTAACGGAAAGTGCAAGTGTCGGCATAATTGTCACATGCGGACCACACATGTATATGCATTTTCCTTCGCGCTCTAGACTAAGCGAGCACAGCTATATACCTAAGAATAGATAACCGTCTCTCCTCTGCCGCTGTTGACAGCGCAGCTACGAGACTTAACCCTCTTTAGCTCATAAGAATTATTTGTAAAACCAGAAACCCATGAAAGTTTGGAGCGGTACATTGGCTGCTCTATTTTAATAAAATCCCAAACATCCCAGTGACTTTCAGATTAATCTGAATCACTTCCATGCCCTGTGTGGTAATGGCCTTCTCTAGACGACGCTACTATTGCGCAGGAGTGGCTACCGGTCTGGTGACTAGTGTCCTTTCTCTTAGGCTGTTCGCACTTGACGCGGTTCGCTCACTTATGACATGCTGTCGCCTTATACCATGTCGCAACTTTTACGGTCCCGGCTGGCTTGGCAGGTGCACTTAACACACTCAACACTCGGCAAGGTGAAGGTCGGATGAACAAAATGCCAGATCAAGGAGCTCGAGCCTCAACTAAAATTCTTCAGGTGCTTAGACACGGGCCACATCGCCAGACGGTGCCGGAGCACCGTAGATAGAAGCAAGACCTGTTTTAAATGTGGACAAGAAGGGCATAAGGCGGCAGCATGCCATAAACCAGCAAACTGCTTTAAGTGCGAACAGCTTAAAAGGAAAGACACTAGTCACCAGCCCGGTAGCCGTTCCTGCCCATTGGTGGCGTCTTCCAGAGAAGACCATAAACACAAGGCATGAAAGTGCGTGCCAAAGATGGAGGCTGGTGAGTCTACAGTATACACTTCGCCCCTAGTCGGGCTTGTAAGCGACTTCAACGCTTGGGCGGTCGACTGGGGTAGCGCTACCACTAACGCCCGTGGCAAAACCCAGCTGGAAGTGCTCTCGATGCTGGATTTTGCTTTACTCATTGTAGGTCAGGGACACACATTTAGCCGGGCGGGAGCTGGTTCAGTGGTGGACCTCACATTCGCTAGTCGCTCGAGAGCTGGGCAGTGTACTGGATGCTTATTGGGGTGTACAAACGACCACGCTGGCTGCACGAAGAGCGAAGAGCCGCGACCCACTGTACGAAAACTTCGAGTAGGTAGTCGCGCACCTGTTCCCCAGGATGGCTATTCCCGAGCTTGCCCTAGGGGTTGGCACAGATTCGCTGCACGAGCTCGAGCCCATCTCCGAAGAAGAAATGTTGGCTGTGGCGGGAAGGATTAAGCTGGCGAAGGCGCCAAACGCGCTGAATATGGCCTCATAGTTACCCTGGACATCCGCAATGCCTTTAATACGTCGATATGGGGCTGTATACTGGACGTCTTGTCCAATTTTGGGGTACCCATCTATTTGCTAAACCAGATGCGTGCGGGGTCCCACAAGGGTCCGTCAATGTATGACAGTGTCCTCCGTCTTCCACTTCCAGGGAGAACGGAGATTGTGGGCTTCGCGGAAGACTGTCGACAAGGAGATTGCAGGAGCGGAGGAGATCAGCAGCCAGAGTATTGCTATTATTAACGCGTGGCTAACGACTGCAGCGATCAAATATCTAGGAGTGATGATCAACACGAGACTCTCATTTAGGGAGCATCTGGTGTATGCAAGTTCCAAGGCCGCTACGACAGTTAGAGCGTTGGTCAGGATAATGATCCATGGCCCAGGCAACCAAGCAAGCTCCTGCTGGGGAGGGCGGGTCTAGAGCGACCAAGCTGTATGCTGCCCCTGTTTGGAGTCATGCCATGGCGTCGCCTCTGCAGTCCGTTTAGGACGGTCTCGGATCAGGCGGCACTAGTGATAGCTGACAACCCCCCTATAGATATACTGGCTAAGGAGCAGACTCGGTCGTGGACATTCTGTGGTCATGAGGCACTATGGTGACCCTCTTACGAACCACCATCACGGTGGAAAACTTTGTGCCAGCAATGCTGAGGAGCGAGGAAAATTGAGTAGCAGTCTCCAGTTTCGGCGCAACGATCATGACTAAGCTCAGGATCGAGCAGAGGCGAGGAAACCAGGAGGAGTCATAGTTTGGAAGCGGCATCCGCGCGAAGCATTCCTTCGCGGACATACCGCGCGAGTGTTCTGCCCCCATCCAATGTAAGCGCCCACTCCTTTTCTTATGTAGATCGCAGAGTTGAACACTGCGCTGTCGTCAGCACGCACCAATCAAGAAAGTTGCGAAAGTTGCCGGGAACAACAGCCCGCCTTCGCTACCTCTTTCGCGCACAATAAACTAGCAATATACAGTTTGGCTGCTGGAAGATTCTGGGCGTGGACCCGGGCATCTGCTGCCGGAAGCTTCCAGGCCCTTCCCCAGTCCTACACAAGTCGTCCCGCCGCTGGAAATTTCCGGACGTGGACACTGACCGCTGGAACAGTCCTGGTCACCAGTCCCGCCACCGAAAAACCCGCCGGGGCTAGATTGATTCCGCGGCTGGGACGCTGTCACAAGACTCTCAGGATAGTCACACGGACCCGTTTTAACCCTTCGCCGCCCCCTAAAATCCCATTCAAAATCATTGGCAATTTATGTCCCGGCCGTCTCAGAAATATAAATTTTGTGAGGGGCACTCTGGATCGCTGAGGATCACCCCGGCCAGAGAAACATCCTTACAAGGTCCAGCAAGAGACGCGCAAAGTGGGTCCAAAATCAAGTCCTCACTCCAAAGCCGGATAGATGTGCAACTCAAACTATGCCTCCACTCTTAGAATATTGTGTTTTTGCAGCATCCCGATCTCGTTCGTATATATTTTGGAAAAATATTTTCCGGATGGAGCTGTCACAATTTGTTGAAAAGACGGGTGGTGCATGCTCACGATGAGCGGGCAGCGCAGCCAGAACATCAGTTGTAGAATTAGGTAATATTGGGCGCAGATAACAAGCAACCATTTCAGTGGCCCGATGTAGGGGTAGCAGCAAAACATAAACACTGATGTCAGACGGAAGCAATAAAAAAAGTTAAGAGTATCAGTCCCCCACAGCTGCGCAGTGGACGATAAATACAACAACTCCGGCAAAGCTCCAGCCTTTGGTGAATGTTGTTGTTGTCGTTGCATTGTGAACTGCGCAGTGAACGACGAGTGCAAGTGAAAAGGGTGGTGAAGATGCCGCGGTGACTTTGGCCTAAGCCAGAGCGCCCGGTTACAGCCAGAATGCGGAAGATAAACCGAGAGACGCCTCTGGCGTCGATCACTGGGGGCTTTTTAGCTACAGAGTTGGGGTTGAAAATCTTGAGGGTCTAGCCAGCTCGATAATAGTGCCTTCCACTATCTATAAGCAACATTTTGTTGGCAAATTTTTTTTATTGGTTTAACAAATTGTTTGTTACTTAAAGAATATACTGTGTAAGTTTCATTATCGAATTCCAACTCTAAGTGCCTCAAATCAAGTATGCATGCAAGGTATAAACGTCTTTTTCTCAGCTTATAATTTTTGCATTTTTACCTATGCTATGGACGCGATTCACAAAAAACTATGTATCGGAGTGATTCAAAAATCAAATCATTTTGATCAGCATGAAATTAACTTCTATTTGAACCTAAATGAGGGTAATACAAATTAATAGTACTATTTGTTAAAAAAAAGGGTGGGAAGTGAAATCTGATTACCTGAAAATGGCATTTTTCCTTCAAAACTTAATTTAATCTTTTTGTCATAATTTCTTTTTGGTTTTTTAGGTTAAATAAAAGGTAAAAATGTAATGAATACAAAGAAATGTTGTTTAAGGTTTCCGACACAAATTACGCACTCTATCGTTTCCATAGCCCGGGAACTCAAAGCACGAGGCGCTGCGGCATATTTTCCATTATTCTTCATAACAAAATTTTTTTATCATCTCCGATTACACTTTTAACTATCTCCAAAATTTCACGAAGATTGCTTAACTATTTCCTACATTAAAAAATTCACGAAAAATGTCTACATTTTGACCGTTTACATGTAAATCCGCCCTTAAGGTGTTCGAATGCATGGTGGCAATCAACTGTTTATTCAAATTGTACATCCATTTACATAACCTAGTTATGTGACGAGAATGAAAAAAAAGTCTGTAATAATTGAAAAATGCAGCGCTCTCCGCATCACATGGGACTGGTGGAGGTCGTATATTTTTGTCATCAAACAAGATTCCTTTATCAGTGGAATTATGTCCTAGAACTAGTGACTTTATGCATTTTCTTCTTGTCTGAGTCCGAAAGGGACTTCTTCGGATCTAACAATAGTGTGCTGTTAAAGTCAGATACAGATAGTTCCACAATTTTATGGTTAATTAATTTTTTACCTGATCTTTAATTTCGTGTTTTTGGCTATGAGGAGTATGAGGACCTGTTCATCATCCCTCCAACTCTTTAATCTTAGTTTTTGTTTCTAAAAAATATTCGTACTTAGCGGTTCGGTTATATTGAGTAAACTGTGTCTGGAACTATGGTGGGCAGTTTTTCAAAACTTGAGATAAGACGATTTTCTATTTTGTTACATTGGATTATACTATACTACTACTATAGTTATTACCTCCATTTTGACAATTGTTATTTTTGTAGTTACTTCGTCATCTGTTGTTATTATTATTGTACTAACCATTATTGCGGTTATATTTATTTCTATTATAAATATTATAACCGCTGCCATTACCTTTACCACGCTAATTACCTCCGTTTTAGTTACCGCGGTAAGCCTGACCTCTACTGGTATAGAAGTGTGTAATCTTGTTGCCAGTCATTTCTGTGCTAAAATTTATGTATTTGCTTACAGCTAAATTCATTGAGGTAAATGTTTTATATTTTTATTCTATCACTAATTTCTTATTTATTTCTTAGATGCCTTGGCTTAAAATCACCTTTTATTAAATTTGGAATTAAGGAGGAAGAACTAGCTAATACAAGTATTCCGCTAAATATTACTAAAGATGAACAAGCATATATGCATCAAGAGGGTCTTCGTAAGCTCGGTACTTTTATTAAGCCTATCGACCTAAGAGACTCAACGACTGGTTTCGTTAAAGCCGATCTCACAAAAAGACTGACATTTGATCCGCCAAGCACAGCATCTCGCCGTATTCATCCAATACAGGAGGAAATGAATCAAAAGCAAATTATACTTCTTGATGAAGATACAGACGAAAATGGATTACCGGCCAGCTTAACAGATGAAGACCGCAAGTTCATAGTACCCATGGCTTTAAAGAATATATCACCTGATCCTCGTTTGCTTGGTATAAAACCAACTTCCTCTGTCCTCAAAAATGAAAAGTCAACAATAGCATCCAGTAGTTCTTCAACACAACTGACCATTAGTTCCACCTCTAACATCGATGACTTAAAGAAACACATACTGTTTCTACATAATATGACCAAAACCAACACAAACTTTGAATCGAAGTTTGTTAAATTCCCTAGTCTACAAAAAGACAAGACTAAGCCATTGGATGGAAATTTTGCCAAGCCGGTAAAGCGTCCGCAAAGACCAATTTTTCAGTATTCAGCGCCCATTGCCCCACCAACTCATAAGGTTCTGCAAGAATCTCCTGGGTATCACCAGATAAGTAAGTTCTATGACAACGAGGAAAGTATAAATAATTCTTTGTTCTTTCTTAACCCTATAGATAATTCCAGTGATGTTAACATTATTGATGCTGACAAGAAAATTTCCACAGAGACTCAAGTGCCTTTGTTATATGAAATACAGTCAACAACTGCTCCGGCAGATGCACAAATTATACCAATCATTAATACAACACCTGTATTACGCACAACGAAACGCCCGCCTTGTCTGCGTAATCCTGACTCGCCAAAATGTATACGACAACGCCGTCGAGAGGAACAACAGCGGCAGCGAGAACGTGATGACTGGTTCCGAGGTCAATCAGAATATATACAACCCAATTTTCAGCCAATTGTACAAACAATTAATAACACCAAGCGGTTCGCAGTATCTATTGAGATACCAGATTCATTTAAAGTTCACTCTACATTTACTTCAGCATCTAAACGATCAGAGGAAGAATTACTGTCACGTTTAGAACGTTCTCAACCCAGAACCAATAACCACATGGACGACATAGAAATTGGTTCAGAATATAACCCGATACCATTTTCAAAAACTGAAGGTTATTATCAGAATCATATTGTGATGACATCCGCAAATGTTGCTAGCGAGCAGGACTTTCTAAGTGACAAATACAATGTGTCTTCTGTAAATGAAAACAATAATGACACATCTTCAGATTCTTATACTGAACAAATTGATATAAATCCAAAAAATTGTTTTGGCATCAATGGCTTAAGTTACAGTCAAAAAAAACAATGTGTAAAGCATACAAGTGTCATGCCAGCAATAAGTCGTGGAGCTCGAGCAGCAATTCAAGTAAGTATATTTGTAATAATTTTGTTGCGGTTAGCCGTTGCAATAATATTATGTGTAGTAAAACAACAAAAACTATAAGATCAAATTATACATACAGTATGTCAAGAAACAGTTTATACAACGAAAATGAACTTTATTTTTTGACTTTGCATGCCAAAATGGGCCTCTTCTGTTTAATTTTATGATTTTTTTAATGCCATACTATTAATTGGAGTATGCTTAGATATTTAGTCAAAAAACAAAATCAAAACATTCAAAAGAAAATTAAGAAGAAGACAAAAAATGAGATTACACAATTTTAGTACTGTCAAGAAACTCTTTACACAGATTGCTTTCGCATTCTGCGGCATAAATACTCCTCCAGTCTTGCTCGCAAGAAACCTTTGCTTTCTGCAATTAACGTTAAAAAACATTTACAGTTCGCTGCAAACATGATCTGCAAGCCGCAGGAATATTGGGATGACGTCATATTCTGTGACGAAACCAAAATTATGCTGTATTACACCGATGGTCAAACTAAAGTGTGGCGCAAGGCACTAACAGCTCTGGAAAATCGGAACATAATTTCAACTGCTAGGTTTGAAAAATTGTCAGTGATGATTTGGGGATGCATCAGCAGCAAAGGAGTCGGAGAGATAGCGTTCATTAAAAATACAATGATTTCTAAGCAGTATCTGAACATTTTTAAGACCCATTTACGGCCAAGTGCGGATAAATTTGGCTTTATTTATGAGAATAAGCCAAATTTTAAGTTCTACCAAGACAATGACCCCAAGCAAAAAGAACATAACGTGGGGACTTAGCTGCTGTATAACTGTGGTAAAATGATTGATACACCACCACAAAGCCCTGACCTTAACCCCATTGAAAATTTGTGGGCGTATCCAAAGAAAAAAGTGGGAAAAAGGCAGCCCAAAAACCGCCAAGCTCTCAAAACGGCAATAATTAAAGCTTCAATTGGTATATGATATACCAAAATTAATCAATTCCATGAAAAAACGTCTCTAGTTTGTAGTAAATGCTAAGGGGGGTCATACAAAATATTGAAATTAGAAAAAAACGAGAAAGGAAGCTAACTTCGGCACGCCGAAGATATTATTTCATTACATTTTACCTATAATTATTATGTTTACAGTTTGACAGTTACAGTTTTACATTCACACCTTTACATGTTCTATACATCTACCGATCGCTCCTATGGCAGCTATAGGATATAGTTGTCCGATTTTCATGAAATTTATACCAAAATTCTAGAATAATAAAATAAGCTTATATCTCAGAGTAGATGAAAATACGTTGAAAAACAACAAAGTTATAATTTTTTTCCTATTAATTTCCCGATCGTTCCTATGGCAGCTATAAGATATAGTCGTCCGATTTTCATGAAATTTTTATCGAAATTTTGAAATAATATAAAATTGTGCAAAAATGTTGAAAAACGGCAAAGTTATAATTTTTTTTCTAAACATTTATCGATCATTTGTATGGGAGCTATATGATATAGTCGTCCGATCCGGCCCGTTCCGACATTCAGATAGCTTTAAAACTGAGGGACTAGTTTGCGTAGAAACGGTCAAACGGACGGACAGACGGACATGGCTAGATCGACTCGGCTGTTGATGCTGATCAAGAATATATATTTTATATAGGGTCGGAAAGGTCTCCTTCACTGCGTTGCAAACTTCTGACTGAAATTATAATACCCTGCAAGGGTATAATAGTATAGGTTTCCTAATATTTGGATTTAAACTAAGAAAATAGTTTTTGTGTAAAGAGTTTCTTGACAGAACAAAAAAGTGTATTCTCATATTTTAGTTTATTATTATGTTCCTGTGAAATGTTATGTTTTTGTTTTTTCACAAATTAAAAGAGAATACACAGAATAGTCGTTATTTATTAAAAAAAATTTATAAAATTGAAAGGAAAGTGTTTAATTTTGCATGCAAAGTCAAAAAATAAAGTTCATTTTCATTGTGTAAACAGTTTCTTGACATATTGTAAGTTGTCCACAATATTCTCCGTAGAAGACAACTTTTGCATAAAGTGGTGAAACTACCGTTGAATACCTGACTACCTTGAGCATTACAATTATACTCGCTTAAAATGCGGTGGCGTGAAATGCGGTTGTGTTCAAAGACATAGCCCAAAGTATGCGTTGGGATGAGACACACTTAAAAATGTACCCTGTCTCTTTTATGCGCATCATTCTAGAACACTCTTTTCTGTTCTGTTATTCTTACATGTCAGGACAAGAATTAAAAAAAACCTTTGTTGTTAAAGGTCACACAAATAATATTGTGAAAAGTATTAATTTTAAATATGTTCCCTAATTTTTATCTTATATTTGATTTTGTACTTATAGTCATGGTAAAACAGAAATTTTGTTCTAATAAAATGAGTAGAATAGAACAGTAATAAACATTTTGGAATTTATTTCCGCTCAAGATGTTGAGATGAAATTTCTGGTAATTACGCTATGAAACAGTAATGCAGTTTTCATATATGATATTTTTCTTAATCGGAGTACAGTCCCACCGATCGAAAAATGTAAACAATTAGATATGCTATGCATTTATGGATTATTCATTGCAGTATTCACGCAGTAATGTATTTTCCTACCCACGAATGCATACACATTTTATAATTATTATTAACAAAAAAAAAAAAAAAAAATAATTAAAATTAATTTTGCTTTCGCAAGAACATAATATTTTTTCTAATTTTCCAATATTTTTTAGTTTAAGAAACCAGCAAACTGAAATTTTCATTGCGAGACCATTTTGACTTTCGACCTCTAATGAACTGGCTAATATACTTTTCAATTACAATGTTCTTCATTGGAGCAGTATTCTGTTATCGCTCCAAAAAAATTGGTAAAAAGAGCCATATAGTCGTCTTGCTGGCATTTGCGTAGAACCTTCAGGTGCTGTCAAATCTTAAGTGAAATCATTAATTAACGCGGCTGTATCATATTAGGAATCAGAAGAGTATAGTTTACGATTTGGCTTGAATGACCGATCCTTTTTTTTTTTTTTTTTTTTTTTTTTTTAGGCTTTGCTTTTATTTATTGAATCTTCTCATTTATGAGACTAACAATAAGTGTATCAAATCTTACAATACTACCTAACTAGCAGTCATGAGACTGGTACAGAGTAAATGGCCCTGACTAATTATGGCTGGGTTGGATGGTCGTTACGTAGTAGGCGGCTTCTTCTGAAAACTCGTATCAGGTCCCTTGCTAAAGGATTTCGATGGGTGGAGAGTTTCTCCTTGTAGGACGCTTTTTGTTTTTCTGTTTCGTTCTTAACTGCAGGAATGCCGAGATCCCTGTGGATTTGTTCGTTGCGAATATACCATGGTGCCCCAGTGATAGTTCTCAGGATTTTTGATTCGGCGCGCTGTATGATGTCTAGATTGGTACTGCACGCGTTCCCCCAGAGCTGGGAGCCATACGTCAATATTGGCTTTAGTGTGGAGTTGTAGAGCAGGACCTTGTAGTCCAGACACAGGGGCGATCGGGAGTTTATGAGCCAGTGGAGGCTGCTGGCTTTTAGTTTTAGATGAAGTTTCTTGCATTCAATATGTCTTCGCCATGTTAGGCGTCTGTCCAGGTGGACGTCCAGGTACGTTACCACGTTGACTTCGGGGATCAGTGTGCTGTTCAGGTAGAGCGGGGGTATGTTTGTCTGTTGAGAGTGAACGTTATGTGCTTACACTTTTGTTCATTTATTTTGATACGCCAGTCAGATAGCCACTTCTCGACTACCTTGAGGTGGTTGGCGAGCTGGGCTGTTGCACGGACTGGGCATCTGGAACGGCTGAGGATCGCAGTGTCATCAGCGAAAGTGGATAATGTTAGCTGGTCGCTTGTGGGGATATCCGCTGTGTATAGAACAAATAGGGTAGGCCCAAGTGCGCTTCCTTGTGGGACTCCAGCTTCGATTGAATACGTGCCGGATGTTGTTGCGTTGCACCTCACTGCGAAGACTCTGTTGTAGAGATACGACTCAAGTAATTTGTGTGTGTATACCGGCAAAAGTGTTTTTATTTTGTGCATGAGACCGTTGAGCCAGACGCGGTCGAATGCTTGAGAAACGTCGAGAAATATCGCGCTGCAATATTCTCGATGCTCGAAGGCTGTGCGAATTTCTGATGTTATTCTGTTAACTTGCTCGATAGTTCCATGTTTTTCTCTGAAACCAAATTGATGATGTTGTGAGCTCCCCATTTTTCAAATAACTAGGACAAGCATGATAGTAGACTTATTGGTCGGTAAAATGATGGAGTCGTGTGGTCTTTTCCGGGTTTCGGTATCATTATAATTATAGATTTTTTCCATTTTGTTGGGTAATGGCCGAGACTTATGATCCCATTGAAGATTTTACAGATCAATAGCACAATTCGGAAGTTCAATTATCATTTTTTGAGTTATAAGGTCATCGCTGGAGTACATTCCGTTTCGGTGTGGATTTGCGGCAGTTCAAATGGATTTGCAGCAGGGTTCGGCTGGAAAACGCCCTGGAGATGTGAGGCAAAAGTTTCGGCTCTGTCTTTGTCGCTGCGGGCCCAGCAACCACATGACTTTCTTATCGGGGTGATGGTTTCAGCCGGTGAGCTTAAAGTTGGGTGAGCTCTCCATAAGGGATGCTTTGTGCTGGTTGGCGAGAGTTTTCCAATATATCTTAATTGTGCTTTTTCGGCATCTTGCTTCAGGGCCCGGCTTATTTTGCGTGTGGTTTCATTTAGACGTTGCTTTGAGCATGGCGATCTATTGGTTTGCCACGCCCGTCGCAAACGCCTCTTTTCTTGGATAAGCTGTTCAAAATGCTGGTTCGTTTTGAATTTGATTTTTTGCACATCCGTCTGTTGTGGTGTTGAGATTCTGGCTGCAGTCACAAGTACCTCTTCCAGTGCGGAGGTGCAGGAGTCGATGTCGGTTTCAGTATTGAGCTGGGGGGCTAGCTCAATGTGGGAACTCACATACTTTTTGTATTTCATCC